AAGGAAGGTGTGGTGCCGTTTGTTGCACTGCTTGCAAGAATGTTCCGATGAATACTCGACTGTCCGATGTCCCTTTTGGAGGTAGTTGAAGCACGCTCCGATGCGTCGAAGGGTATTGTATCGATCTGTCAGGTTTGCCTTCTTGAAGACGTCACATTTCCATAACGCATGGTTGTTTGAACACTGTGGACATTTGTCAGCGGTTGCCACTAGACTGCTACCCTTGGTTCTCACTTCTACGGTCGGCTTCAGTAGTTTCACGGGTTTAACGATGCACTTCTCCGGAACACGGATCTTCTCCAACACTCGGCATCGCTCTTTCAGAAATTCCATCTTTGAATCGTAATCCGGCATTTCGTTTGCGGATTGGTCCAATTCCCATGCCTTGCGAGTTTCGTCATCTAACTTCTTTGTGATTCGATTGATCAGCATACTTTCTCCCAATCCTTCAACTGGAAGCTCAAGGTTTTTGAGGGCATCAACATTTCTCGAACAGACGTCTATCAGCTTACGCAATTCTGTTGCGTTCTCGCTCGTCATCCTTGGAAGATCGAAAAGGGCATCGATATGCTTATCGATGATCAACCGTTTGTCTTCGAATCGCTCGGTTAATGTCGACCAAGCAGCTGCATAATCGTTATTGTTTATTATCTCCTGGTCAATTATTCCTGCAGCCTTGCCTACCAGCGAGTTGCGAAGGTGGTATAATTTTATCGCTGGGGACTCCGACTGATAGCGATTCATAATCGTTTCGAACATCGACTTGAATGCATACCAGTTCTCGTATGTACCGTCAAATGTAGGCAACGGCGGTAGGTGCATCGCTGCAGCGGAAGCTACCGGAACATTCTCTTTCTTGACAATATCGTCCAGCAATTTAATAATGAAAACGTACAACTCACCGTATCGCTGCTCGAATCGGACATACATTACGTCTGCTTCCTCGCGGGCCTCATCACCCACGTCCAAGCTGTAGATGCGCTGCTGGTTGGCATTGTATTCCACCAACGCATCTTCGATGGTCTTCAGCTGCAGTTGCAGAAAGTGCCTATTTTCCAAATTAGGATTTGGCACCTCCGCATTCACTTTGAGTGCCGTCTGCACCCTGTTCAGCTTTCTTCTCACTGCATCCAATTGGATTTTGATCACTTTCAGTTCTTCGTTTATTTTCTTCATTTCTTCTTTTTTCTTTTGTTTTTTCTTTTGTTCACGGACTGGTTCGTCTTTTTGATCTTCACCGTTTTTGGATTGTGCTCCAGCTTGCGCGTTGCTTTTTGTATTTTTCGGAGTGTGCATCATCTTCACAACATCAGGGAAAGACTTCTTCTTTTCACTAAAGCAAAAGCTTCAAACGGTTCGCCAAAATGGCGTCGTAATTCTTCACTGAAGAAGTACGATCAACACAACACCGCACTCACGGCAGTGGCGTTCTTTTCTTCACGAAAGCACAAACTTTTTTTTTTCACAACAATTTTACCGCTATGGGTGATATTTTCACAACGCGATTCGCCAAACGGCGTCACAATTCAGCTGCGATACTACCGGCAAAAGTCCGGACAAGCGGTATGCAAAAATTTGCCAGCAATTATCACTCTCTTCGATGCACGAATCAAATTGGCGTCACACTTTCAGCTACGGCTGCAACACCATGCACACGCGAAGTTTTCCAACAAACGAAAGCACTAGCTTCAAATTTCACCGCTATGGGTGATATATTTATTACGCGATTCGCCAAAAGGCGTCACAAATCGGGTGCAATCCCGCCGACGGAACACCGTGCTGATGGTTATCTTCACAAAACTGCAACGCAGACAAAGCTTTGCCTGACGATAGCACTTTTCATTCGAATCACCCAAGATGGCGTCACACTTTCGGCAGCGGTTCCACCGATTTAACACCATACACAAGGTGATCTTTCCGATTCACTTGCGAACTCCAACTTTCTTCGCACGAAAGTTGGCCAACTTCCCGATAACTAGTGAAAATCCGGTTCGAAGGACCAGAAATGAACGAGCTCGGGAGAAACAGTGGACTGTAAATGAAAATTTTCTTCCGCGTGGAACGAAAGAAAACGCGTCTGGTCTGTTCTGCTATAGAAAATTGACTGTCCTTTATTGCGTACTTTACAGAGTTTAGGTGTGTTGGTAAAAAATGAAATGGGTTTCTCTCTTCAAGGTTGGCAGCGTTGCGGGTGCGTTGCTACACTCAACAGATCGGATGATTCAAAAATCAACATTTAAATATTGCAAACAAAATTTAAAGTTGCATAATTTTGGAATCCTGTCAAAATTTTACATGTTGCACTCTTTGTTGTCATTCTCTTATCATTTTATTTTATTTTTTTATTTTTATACTTTTAGATAACAATGAAATCATGGATCCTGATTTTGGCAATTATCACTCCTGGTTTTGCTGTTGGTTAGATGCCGATACTATTAAAAACAATCAAATACCCGGTACTCATCTTAAAATCATAAACCTGAATGACTATCCCGGCATGATAGCTCTTAAAGCAGGTAAAACATTTATAGAAATAGGATATGATCGGCTCGTTCATACATTCAGATTAGATACATTCCAAGAAATTTTGTATCAATATGAAATAATGATAAACCAATTAAGTTCAAATAGGTACAAACACAAAAGACTTTGGTAAATTTTAAGATTAAAATTCACACAAACAAACTTAACATTTCAAAAGCAAAAAGAGCAATCAATATTTTAGGTACTTTAGTTGAAACGATCACAGGGAATTTGGACCATAATGATCTAGTTAACCTAAACCAAAAAATTAGTACCTTACACTATACAAACAAGCAACTTATAACAAACAATAATGAACAAATTAAAATCAATAACGAATTTCAACAGAGAATTAATTATTTAACAGGAGTTATTTACAGAGAGAAAGAAGGTATAGATAAACTGACAAATCAGATTAGGGAAAATAAGAACATTAAAATGTCCTGGGTTACAGCATTTCCAGAGGATTATTTTCAACTTGGACGTGATTCAGCGACAGTTGGATGACATCTTGGATGCAATCATTTTGGCTAGGATAGGCATTTTATCAAAAAATATTCTGCAACTTAACTTCATATCTGAAAAACTGGAAAAATCAGGCGTTTGTATCAACAATGGCGAACAGGTTTACGAATTTCTGGAACCAGCCGCTTACTATAATGGTTCATGTATTGTGTTTCTAATTAAAATTCCAAAATTCTTACGAGGATCTTATCAGCAGATTATGGTCGAAAGCTTTCCTATCAAAGAAGAAATCATTCCCATTGATTTCACATACGCAGTGTTAGGCACAAATGAAACATTTATTACGAAAGAGACATGCGTGAACATTGAACAAAACATTATATGCAAATATCAAACATTGAAGAACATTTCAAATGACAAGGGGAAAACCCAGTAACTGTCCGTTTCGAAAATACAAAGGATTTCAAGAAATAAAGGCACTTGGAAAAGGTAAAATTCTCATTCGAAACGCACCCAAACCTGTGCAACTAAAGAACATTATTGCGGTTACGGTCCCAAAAATATTACAGGACCTTTCCGTATCACCTTTAGAAATTGTTCTATTGAAATAGAAAATGAGACATTTGACAACATGCAGTTTGACACTAGTTTCAATTTGGAAATCAGTGCCAACATTTCAAAGGGGCGTAATTGCATTTGTAAACAATGGCTTTAGCCGTCGATTTCTCGCGAATAAGAGCTCACTCATGAAAAATAATGACACCAGCAGGTAGATGAATGTTTCCTCTACCAGCTAGCATTGTAAATTTGGAGAGGTAAGATTTCATTCGCGAGAAATTGACGGTTAAAGTCATTGTTTACAAAAGCAATTACGCCCATTTGAAATGTTGGCACTGAAATGTTACCACTGCAGTCAACATCAATCAACAAAACACAAACTATAGCAACAGAAACACAAATCTTACAAAAATTAAACATCAGCAACAGAAAGTGTATTGAGACATTGGAGACTGCAAACCATCATTTTACTTTGGAGGAGTTTTTACAATCATCATTCTTCTTATTATTTCTATTTACCTGTTCAAAGAAGTAAAAACAATTTGGACGAAGATTATAATCAAAACAACTAGGAATTCTAACATCGAGTTGAATCGGGACGCTTCAAACTAAAATCGGGGGAGTTATGTCCCAGCCTGTCTAAGATCCAGCCCATCCACCTTACATTGTAGTTTCCACGGCAGGCAAGCCATGCAACCAGCCAATTCATCATTCCCAGAAACAACATCGTCGTTCCCACATAGCGTCTGGAATAGATCTGATTCAGTTCCGACTAACCTCATCGAGTGCAACCTGAATTCCGGTACGTGACGATTCGATGGAGGACATCGTGGCGACGTAGACTGTTCCCAGCTGACCTCAGCAGTTTAACAGAATAGTTAGGTTGTTAGATGGTCGTAAGTAGAACAGGCATTTAGTTCTTAGTTGACTCTAAAAGTGATCGGTTGGTAGTTCTAGTTTGATCTGTAGTTCTAATTTGATGAAGTGAATACAAGTGTTCAAGTGAACAAAACGTTTTTTTTTTAAATTCCCTGATGACAGTCAGTACATAAGTATATAAATACATATAAATAAATATATATATATATATATATATATATATATATATGGAAATAAAAAACCACTGAATAGATAATGTCAAGTGATCGTGTGGTTAACGTCCATGGGTGGTGTTTTACGCGGTGTCTTCAGTATCAAAAAAGACCTGAGGTGATACTCTAAGGTAGCCTTAGCGTAAAATTGCAAAATCACAGAAGTCAGCTTCCACAAAACATACAATAATTAAATTGCTACTTTCTATTTTTAGTAGCGCAGCTACCAAGAAGTAGAAATTTCATAATTGTATTTGTTTTTTTTTGTGTGGTAGCTGACATTTGTGCTTTTGAAAATTCACGCTAAGGCTTCCTTAGAATATCACCTTATGTTTGTGATTGTTTCTTTAATTTAATACATACCTCACTGCATCAAGCGTTGTTTTCAACTGTGTCAATCCGCCGATATCCTGTAGTTGGTTTAGGTTTGCTCTCGAAAGATCAAAATGAAAATGATCCAATAATGATACGACGAGGCGGATAAGTTGTTTTTGATATTCAATATTGTGTTTCATTTTAAATAGATATTGCTTCAACAGAGCCTTATAGTTTGGCCAAGGAAGCATCCTTGCAATCAGAGCAACACAGTTGCCAGCGGCGTCAGTAAGTCTGACTTTCTTTCGGAACGCTTCATTACATAGGTATGATGACACAATTGGTAACACAAAATTGACCAACGTACGCGTTGAAGGTAATCCCGTTAGGTTTTGAGCTGTTTTGCAGAATCGGTTCAATGCGCGGCGGTGTCGATGAATTTGGAGATGGGTAATATTATCGAAGAAATCGATTTCACGATTTTGACTATCAGTGAAAGGATATAGATCAGATAATATTGTGGAATATTCTGCACATTCTCTGCTCAATTCACCCAAAAGTTGTATGCTTTCGTTCCTGCTTACATTATTCTTATCCTTGATTCCCTTCATCAATGCAATCAATATCACACGCTCAAGCAAGTATTGAGTTTCTGCTTTCTTATTTGTTCCGAATTTTTTTATGGAACTGATTGTAACCTTTCGCAAAAAATGATTAGTATTGTCACGTATAGCCAAGTCGGTATCTGTTTTCAGATAATAAAAACACTGATGAACGAATAATACAGTTAGATCCATTCCACACAGTTCGTCACTCTGCATTATTCGATCGATTGAACGGAATGCACCAAGCCGACGTTCATAGTCAGGTTGGTCAAGCCATCGTTTATCCATAGCATTCATATCCTCAAGGATTGTGGCGCAATGAGTGTGCTCCGTTGAACCTGATTTCTCTGCTATTAGTTTAACCATTTGAACAATGATCGCTCGGGTAGCTATAAACAAACAAGATTTAAAATTATAACATGTATGTACCTACACTGTAATTTGACATATTAAAGAGTACTATAGTATTGGTATAGTCATTTGTGAGCAAGAGTTACTCATTAATGGGTACAAGTTTTACTAATTTAATGAGTAATCACACATTTCTTCAAATTGAATGGATAAGTACTGTTTAATAGATACTGTCAAGTTATCGTGTAATATGGTAAGAACAACTTACCGGAATCTTGAACCAATTCCAAAAGAAGGCCTATTTTGTGTAAGTGTTTCTCCGGATTTGGTACCATTTTCATCAATGAGTAAAGTGCTGTGTGCATTTGCTGGATAATATCCATATCAACATTAGGTAAGGTAACTTTTCTTACAATTATCGGTAGTAGCATGTTCGTCATGGCATCACATGATTCTTCCTTTTTTACATGTTTGGCGATATGCGACAACACCAATAAGTGATCCTTATTGATAGACCGTTTACACTTCATAACCTTTTGGATGTAATATAGAATGTCCATAATGAAAGGCATAAGCATATAAGTGCCAAGATTCATGTCGTTCCATGCCATCTGATCATCGTATATTATTTGGCTGTTTGGAACCATAATCGTTTCTGATTCAGTTGATATGCTGTCTAGGGTTAGCATACTGATAATCATTTTTATAATTTCTTGGCAAACTGTATCGCTGGTTTTCTCTCCATTTAGTAAGCTAATGATACGCGACAAAGGTGTAGTTTTGGCACCAAATTGCTGATCGGATAATGATTTCACTAGAAGCTGATAGTAGCGTGGATTTTTGCTCCATGTTATAAACAATTTCAGCAGGGGCGTCGGTGAATGAATGCACTCTGTTTCCAGCTTTTCTAATTGAGGCTGTATGTAGATGATGAATATTGTTTCGATTTCCTCCGGTGTCCATTTGTATCCGTCGAAGTGCTCGAAAATGTCAACCAAATTGATTAGGGCTTGGGACTTTAATTGCTTCACTGTTGAATGCTGCATCCGTAGCAAGATAGAGTCCATACACAATTTAATGTGTAACACATATCGTATAAATGATTCGTTTTTCAAGCCTCCGAACTGTTCTCGTATGCTGTCAATCAATTTCATGAGAACTTGTATCCGATGCACGGGAAGATCTTCCTCGAAACGTTTATCGCTTTCATTTATTTTATGGTGCGTTTGCAGAGGATTGTATTGGAGTAGTTTTTCAAAATAAGAAAATGACATGCTTATGAAGATGTTGATTTCGTTCTCGTAAAAATTCCCAACGAACCGCAGTATTAGAGCCTTTTGCTCTGTCGGTGTAACTTTTTGGATCATTCGTGTATGTATAATTTTCATTACCAGAGGTACAACCTAAATAGATAACAATAGATTAGTAGATGCACATCAAGCAGATTTTAAAAAGTAAACCAGGGGTCACATTGCGAATCTCGAAACGAAAGACTTTTTGTACGAACGCTTGTTAGAAAAAAAAAAATCGTTTGAGGTGTGGCAATCGTGTAACTCGAAAGAGGCCTCGAGTGACTAGGAATTGCAATTGGATCGACGCGTCTTTTGAGTTACATTATTGGTGCACATGTAAGAGGAGTCGAGTTTCGAACGCCTTTGGATACGGTTGTGTGTTAAGTTCGTTCTCTGTTTTGTGCGTGCATTCGCTTTCATAGTTTTCGGCTGCATTTGCCGGATTAGCGCTGGCACTCTGCCTACCGGACGGTTATACGTGTGTGAGTGGTGGTTTTCTCGCTTTCCGAGAAGTTTTAGAATCGAGAAAGAAAACATGATTCATCATGTTTGCAAAATTGCAAGCATCAGAAGATTTGGCGCTGCGAAGTTTGATTGTCCAGAAATTTGTGGCATCGCGAGTGAAAATTTTAATTTCTGTTTATTTACGCGGTGATGAGAACGGCGCTGATCTATTGTCAGGGTTTTGCGATGTGCATTGCTTTTGTGCACGGACTGACTTGAAAAAGAAAAGTAAAGAAAAGTGATATTTGGTTGTTGTGTGGTTGGAGTGGAGGGAAAAAAATATACATGGAAGCATAGGGAATGCGCTCCCGGGTGAAGTGATTTGGTGAGTACGTTCCAGTTGAAGATTGTTGACAAGTGTATTTGTGGTGATGCAAATTATGGTTTAGATAACGCATGGCTTCAAACATTTTGTGTATCCAAATAAAACATATTACATACTAAATACACACAGGGCATCGTCTGCTGACCATTGCCGCGGGTATATCGTGGGAGTCCCAGGTACCCGGTTCAAGCTTTAGTTGGTGGCGGTGGCTCTTCTTGACCTTCTACCCCCTGAGTAGTTAGTGTGAATAAGGGCGTCTATGTGATGTTTTGCTGTACCTGTTGTGGACATTTAGTGCATCCTGTTCCCTTAACTTGTTGAGGACACCCTGTCTTGCCTCAAAAGTTATCCTTTTTGAAGTACTAGTCTTCACAACATTACGGAGCATGAGATTTGATCAAATTATTCGCAGTTCTACTTGTCCAACGCCCCCGGCTGGGTGAGGGATAGAGGATGACACACGCACACATTATTGGTGCACATGTAAAAGGTGGATTTGTGTTTCTGATCAAGTATTATGAGAACCATGTCGAGAATCACAGTAAAGTGCACGTAGAGATGGTGCGTTCGCAAACATTCGGGATTGCTGCTTGCTGGGCGATAATGAAAACGATATGGATAATTAAAATTATCGTGCACAACACGGATGTTACTATCATTGAATCTATCAATTTAAATTGTTCAAGATTACTTTCAGCTCTTCAATGAAAGAACATTTATAAACACACTTTTTTCACCCTAAAGGATCTATTGATTTAAATTATGTATGTTTAGTTTCAGCTTTTCGATGAAGGAACATCAAAGGATTTATTTTATATTGATGTACTTTTTTTAAGTCATCGTTCAGTCTGGATTCATAATTTTAAATTATATAAGTTTATTCTAAGAGCTGAATTAGATGAAAGAACATGATTAAGAACAGATTCACTTTTTTTTCCTTGATTTGTTATCCGTCGATCTTGTTTTCCGTGCTGAGCACCAATGCTACCGACGCCAGGCAGGCAGCTCCCACACCTGGACCCTACCCATCGACCCATCAACCCATGAACCGGGGACCAACGGCTTTACTTCCCTGATCAGAGTGATCAGAGATGTTTTGCCTCAGAACATCCTGGCGGCGCCGACCGGGAATGAACCCAGGCCTGCTGGGGTGAGAGATAATTACGCTTACCACTACACCACCGGTGCCGCTTAGATTCACTTTTGTCAGCCTTCCTTCCGGCTGGATCTATTCATTCAAATTAGTTAAGTTTATTTTCAGTTCTTCGGTCAAGGAACATCTTCAAATATATTTTACATTGATTCATATTTTTCAGCCTTCGTTCAGGTTGAATCTATTATTTCAAATTGTAACACGATCACTCGAGTGTTGTACAAACACTTCTCGAAATCCGATATTCTCCAAAACATTCTTCAAGTATTGGTCTACTTGATATGGGAATTAAGTTCCATGAAACATGTTTAGTTTCGCGTTGAGCGGGTTCCAAATTCAGTAGGTTTTTAATATATTTTCGCATTGTATTGTACTTTGTACAACGGTGCGAGTACTGAAAGGTTAATGCATGATTAGGGTCAGGTGAGGCAAGAGTGCCGTATGGGGCAAGAATGCCACCCCTAAAATTTTTTAAAATAAATACATTTTCAATGCTATCTCACCGATGAAACTATGAATAGTGTTCCTATGCAGCATTACAGAAAATTTTCTTAAGTCTTCAAAAAACTGCAAAAAATTATTTTGTGCTGATGTGTCGAAAATTGAAATTTATCGATTTTGTTTTCGATGTCACTGATTTTATGTGTTCCTCGTATTGTTTAATTGTACCAAATAAAAAAAAAAAGATTTCGCGTGTTGATAAGTGTAAATTAGGATCTATCACGTTTTAATGCGTTTTTAGTGATATTGTAATTAACGTGAAAACTCTGGGACAAGAATTTGTTTCGAGTAGCTGTGTTGCTGTGGCTTTCCAATGTTCGGTTTTTCATTTCCCTTATTTTTTTCACTTCTTGGTGCTGGCGTTCTGCCATCCGGAGGATGCACGCGAATGAGGTGTTAGGTAAAAATTCTCTGCGAATGACAAACTTTGCATCTAGCCGGCGCCGGTGGTGTAGTGGTAAGCGTGACTGCTTTCTAACACCCCGATGGGTCTGGGTTCAATCCCAGCCGAGGTCGGTGGGATTTTTCTGAGGCATAAAAATCTCTGGTCACGTCTTCCTTCGGAAGGGAAGTAAAGCCGTTGGTCCCGGCCCAAGTGTGTTGAATGGGTGCGATATCCTACGCAGGTGTGGAAGCTGCCTTCCTGCACATTTGATTGCCATCAATGGATGGCAATCGATGTTCGTCGGTGATTGGCACTAGATTGCGGAACAGAGACCGACGTTAAATAAAGGAAAAAGACAAAGTTTGCATGTGGTTCAAAATGTTGTGTTCGGTTGTAAAAACAACGCGGAAGACTTTTTTGATTACCGCGAGTGAACAAACCGATGCTTTTTCGGATGTAGAATTTGGTGAGATCCATCTTATTATTTATTTTTTCAGTATTAAATTTTATTCTTTTAAAAAATTATTCAAATTCAATCAAAAAGATTTAAATTCAACCAAAAATTTATAAAATAGAACAAAAATGCTTAAAATCTATTCAAACAAGATAACTTTCAATTTGGGGCCTCATAGCCTAGTCAGTAAAGGCACGGTATTGCCGGTTCTGTCGAGGGAATCTTTTAGGTTGGAAATTTTCTTAACTTCTTAACTTAACAGAGTATCATTGTGCTTGCCACACAATATACGAATTCATGCATTGGTAATGACATCGAAAGCTCTCAGTTAATAACTAAGAAAGTGCATTTTGAACACTAAGTTGAGTGCACGCAATAAGCTAATATGCATTATGCAATAAGATTGAAATGCGAATAAGAATAAGAAGAAACTTTCAATTTAATGTACCATTATTAAATGTGGTTTGATATCGAATGATTATCTTTTACTAAGAGATAATTAATGTTTAATCATTCGATATGATTAAACTGAGTTTAATGTCAAATTGATTAAATATTAAGCAAATTGAGAATAGTTTAATTTATCAGTGTAGGGAAAATGGCTCTCATGTTGGCCTATGGATCTAAGATTGTGCCCATCGTTAAAAATCTGCTATTTATCAATGTTATACCCCGTACAGACTATGGCTTATATCATGTAATATAGGCTGTCTTGCAATGGGTACTCATACATAGGATTTCCAGTGAAGACTCATTGCACGATAGCCTATATTACATGATATAAGCCAAGGTCTGTACGGGGTATAATCTAGATGAACGCGTCATTGGGACGGTACTAATGTATATTTTTGGCACCTATTGAAAATTTAGTCGATTGCTGAATTTATGTATGGGCCCAAATTAGGGGCATTTAGTCCGACATTACATCCATTTCCCCTACTATATCTCTCCCTAACTCGATGATCAGCAGTTCCATTTCATTTTTTTTTTAATTTGTTGATCGACCTTCTACGATTATGTTGAAACATTACACAGTTGTTTGTTATTGTCCAGCATGCCATTTTACATATTTGGTTCCCTAGTTTTGTACACGATTAACACTTGAAAAGGGCTTAAGCAAAATGATAGACATCAATAGAAAAAACATATATCTCGCGAACGATTTTTTTGGTGTCTTCGGCAACGTTGCTGACATTGTGCCTTTCAAGAAAAAAATATACTGTTTTTTTTTTATTATTATTTACAACAATAACAAATTATAAAAAAAAATACTCAAATTGCACATTTTTTTAATTTTTCGCATAATTCGAGTATTTTGTGCCCTTTTGAGATGTTATTCGTGAGGGTCCAATCTCGGATACTCGATTTGACGCAACTGGGAACTCACTCATGCACACTAACACCACTATTTAGTAAGCGAAGGTTTCCCCTATCTGATAGTGGTGTTAAAGGGTTATACGGTCAAAATTTGGTCAATATCAACTTGACGTATTTCTTTCAATTTTGCATTTAAAAAACCTGAACACCCCTCATTTTGAAGGTGTGTGTGTGTAGAATGTTGCTCCTATTTTGATTTTGGAATTCACTCTTCAGTTGTCAAAATGCCGTCCAAGCAAGAAGAGCAGCGTATCAAAATTTTGCTCATCGCGAAAATCCGAGCTACTCGCACGCAAAGTTGGCAAAATCGCTAAAAGTTGCCAAATCAACCGTTACAAATGTAATTAAAGTGTTTGGGGAACGTTTGTCGACAGCCAGGAAGTCTGGATCGGGGGGAAATCGAAAACCGGAA